GGTCAATGGCAGTTGTTCAGCATCCCTCAATCTTCGTTCATCTCTGATTTAATTGAAATTTTGAATTGAACTCTCTTCAACAATCTATTTAAAAATCCTAGCACCCATTTCAACTTTCATTGCCTCCTCTACTTTCTCTCTCTTTTCATCCATGTTTTCTCTCCAAACCCAGGTTAAGGGAAAGTGCAACGAAAAATCTTACATCCTGGAGCATCCATCGGTAAACTGATGTCCCTTCCCCGCTTCTGTTCTTTAATCTGTGTGAGTTTCTTTTGTTCCGTTTAAGTTTTGGGTATGTTACTACTTATAAACCATGGTTGCTGATGTTATTTCCACCTACAAAACTTCCACAAAGACCACCCTATTTTGTGTTTTGGGGTTTTTTTGAAGACTATCGTCGACCACCACCGCTCCATTTCTAAGGAAGCATAACAACCACTGCTTGTCTCTGCCACTATCACCATTGATGTCCTACAGTCATCGGTTCTAATAGTGCGAAAAAAAAAGAAGGCCCGGCCCCAAGTTGTTCAAGAATAGTGTCGTTGAGTTTCTCGACCCTTTGCCTTAGGATTAATCAGTTCTATTTCTCGATGGGGGCAGGGAAGGGATATAACTCAGCGGTAGAGTGTCACCTTGACGTGGTGGAAGTCATCAGTTCGAGCTTGATTATCCCTAAACCCAATGTGAGTTTTGATATTTTGATTTGCTACCCCGCCGTGATTGAATGAGAATGGATAAACAAAAATATAAAACCTTTATCCTTTCCTACTCTTATTTCCCAACTCAAAATTTTTTGTTACCGATGACATCATTAATCCGCCATTCATTCTCCAGACGCCCCTCTCCAATCGGTTGAAGTTATACAATCCAGGATGGTTAGTTTTCCTTTTGATTTGTTATTTTCTCTTTTCAATGATTTTTATCTGTTTCCCTATATGTCAACTTCTAGATGTGTCGGTGGTGATGGTTATCTGGTAAATTTGAAAATAATGAATCAATGTGTTTTGAATGTGTAATATTGTTTAGATCCTGGAAAGTGGTTAGTGTACTTTGTTTTTCTTCATCCACAAACGAGGTCTGATTTTTATTATTATTTTTTTTTTCAAATCATTTGTGTGAATGACTGTATGAAATCCCTCATTATTTATTAAAAAAAATGGTTATTGCAGAGTTCCAAAGAAGTCATTAATTAACAAGCATCATAGCACCATTACATGATAGTTGATTGAAGATGAATGTTCAGGAACAAACATGGGAAGAAATTATAGTAGAACGGTAATTTGGTCTTTCTTTTTTTACTTTCAGTTTAGGTAACTCATCTTCTAAGTGTAGGTTTTAGCTTTTTTATGAAAATCGAAAAGGTTGGAATAGTGAGCTATTCTTGGGTGTGATTTGAGTTTAATAGACAATGTGAATATGAATTAGAATTAGGATTACTATAAATGAAAAGGTGGTCGAGTTAGGAAGTCTGTAACTATTTTTAATTCGTAAAACTATAAAATCAAAGTTGTCTTATTTGCTAAACTTTTGGTTCTCATGATTGTAGAGCTCTTAAGTTGAACTCAAAATAATTACTCACGTCTGGTGCCCTTCGTGTCTTAGATGATCCTGAGGTGAAGACATACATGTATTGATTAACTTTAGATGAACTTAGGTAACTATTTTTCGGTCATTTTTTCTTCTTTTAAAGTTTTCGAAATATACAGATATGCATTTAGTTAAAATAACTAACTGTAGTATGTTGTGTTTTGTTTTATTATTTATGACATATTTTAGACTTTTTTACCTCAACTATAGTCTTCGGTGGCACAGTATGGTGCAAGAACTTGGAACCGACACTACATTGATCACTTTGGCAATGTCCTAGATCATGTATAAATTATAATCCAAAGAAAATTGAAATAGCCTGAATAAAGTATGTTAAACTTATGCAAAAAACGGAAGCGTACAATTCCAAGTACATTGCTATTTCGGTTATTCAAGTTTTAGCAACAATTCTAAAGATGGTTTTGACAGTGTCCGAGATCACTAGAAGTGCTTGCCTTCATCATAGAAAACCTTTTTTAATAGGTTTGAGTGAGAAATTTGTCGCAGAATGAAGAACAAATATTTTTAGACATGATATAGGGGTTTCCCTAAAAGGGGAAAATAGGAGAAAAGAAATATATACCAGCTTTTATTTGTTTTTGACAGTTGATATTAGCAAATTTAGAAGCCTTCTTAAGGCATTTTTTGTAGGTCGCAATGTTGGTTGCAGCCTAAACTTCATATGCCTTCAACAAAATTACATGGTGAAGTCAAAAACCAAAATTCATTTAAAGGAGCTGACAACATGGTGTTTTAAAGTGGACGTATGTAACCTACTATAATTTATTTTTTATTTGTATTATTCTTTCGATAATCATAGCAACCTACTTTATTTTATTTATTTACTATAGCATGCTATTTTAATTTATTTTTATTAGAAAGTAGAAGTGTGTTTTGTGCACTGCACATGATTTTTGAAAGTAGGATGTTATAAGAAACAATTTAATAAAGTATGCTTCCATTTATTGAAAAAAATATGATTTATGAATCTGCTCAAATATTCACTTTGTAATTTGTGTGTATGTAATATGTATTTTAGGGAGTTTTATGCTATGAGTATGCCCTTAAGTTGAAACTAGATTTGCCATGGGTTTTTCTTAGTACTAATATCATATATTGTTTTTATATTTTATATGAATTAAGTATATTGTCCAGAAAGTTTAGCAAGCATAAACAGTAAATATATAATCAACTAATTTGAAATATTTTATTATTTCATATTTTACTCCATATAATTTATAAACAAATAAATAAATATTATTTTTATCATAGAAAAATATAGATGCATATTATATTTATGCTATTATTAATAACAACAATTAAATTCTATCGTATTCTTTAATTAGAATATAATTTATATATGATTGTGTTTTATCAAAGTATAAATTTCATAATGATGGGCCGATCTTCATTTAGGATACCAAGTTTATAGGGTTTGATGTCACCTGGACCATTCTTTTTATAAAAGTCTAACATGATCTACAATAGAAAATATGACCCATGCCGTCGAAAAAGCAACAAGGAAACGATGACAACATCATCAAATTCTAATCTAATTACTTGGGAAAGTATTAAAAATAAAAAATTCAAGAAATATATTTATTAGTCTTCATTGCACTTCACGTGGGATACATAAAAATAAAATAGAAGATGTCAAATTCATTTTTATCGACTTATTGTAAATGGAAGGTGCGGGAAAAAAAATCGGCAATAATGTTTGTGGCCTAATGCTTGTGTTATATATTTGACGGAAATCATAAAAATAAAAAAAAAGGAATAACCCTATCATAAAGAGAATAGTCCAACATTAAGCAATAGATAAACTATTTTATCATTTTATATAAGAAATTGTTATGTTTTCTTTATAATATGATATGTTTCATAAATAAACTATTAAAAAAACCTAATTGATGAACAAAAATTAACCACCCCACACATATTTTTAACCTAGATCAACAACATTTATTTTTACCAAACCAAAAATGTAAACGATATTTGTTGATATAATGCATTGTGTTCTTTGGACTATAACATGTTTCTGAAAAGATATTTCTATCAAAAAACAACTTTTCACTATAGCCGCATCGCAAATCATTGATATCTCTTCCATAGAAGAAATCGATCTACAACAATCTACTCTCCAAAGTCACCACTAACAACAATCTACCTGTCTTAGAATCGTTTTCTAATTAAATTTCACTTCACAAAAACAAAACATATTATAACTGAAATCAGTTTAATAAAATGATTTCAAAAAATTGAAACCGGTTCAAAATCGATATAAAAAACAAATCGTTTGTAGAAACTAATTTTTGCAAAAAATTATTCGCACCCGTCGCTTAGCGCGGGGGTAAACGGCTAGTACCTTAATAAACATTTAGCCTCAAATGTTGAATTTTAAGAGGTACAAAGCTTACTGCAATTTGTACAATGTGTTGATGCATTGAAATCTAATTTGGTTAACAAGTCAAAAGTCAAAGACTAAAAGCGGGTTGTTCAACTCAATTTTTTTTGAAAGCCGACTAGAATGCGTTTGAGGATTGAGTATGTTGATTCTTAGATATTGGCAAATATACTTGGATTCTAGCAACTCTCTCCTATATTTGGCGTCTTTTTGTTAAATTTCTCCATTCCCTTTGTCTCCCACTACTAGAAAATAAAGGGTTAAAATTCCTTAAGGGGCCATGCCCCCCCTGTTTTTCAGCTTAGTATATTAAATTTTTTTGTAGATTAGCTAATTGTTTGTGGATAAATACTACCATCGGCCCCCTTTCAAATTTGGAAAAAGCTAACAAGAGTTTAGCTCTTAAAAAACTGAAATATGTAATTAAACAAATAGTAGAAGAAAAGATAATCGCAATCTGTTATGTTCGCTCTCACTTTCATGCTTGCTTACGTGAATCTTGCCACCACTCGCCATGTCTATTTGCTTATATTTCTACATTTATGCTTTAGAGTTAAGGAAGACGGTAATACCTTCCGAGTTTCAATCAATTTACTTTGTTGTTCATCTATTTTATTGGGCCTATCCTTTTTTTCTCTTTTATTTGATTTTTAATTATATTTGTACTACAGCTTCTAGAACGTACATTGATATCTTTTATTTGTTTTCTAGATTGTAAGTATTTTCTAATATTTAATTTTAATTCATTACTTGATTTTCCTATATTCTCCTTTTCTGTTGTTACATTGTTTGTTTAATTGTTTCATTCATTATTTTTTTAATGGTATATTGCTTAAACTTTTCCTTAGTTATATTTTTTTTGTGTTTTATGTAATTAGTTAGATCAGTAAAGAACTCTATTAAGTATGTAATGTGTTACTAACCGTAACATAGGTGTTTGATTTTAAACTTTTATTAGTATAACTGTTACCTGTCAATCGATTTTGACTAGGATTAAAAAAGTTTGTATCGAGATTTATTAGAGTTTGCCCCGTTTGGAATTTTCCTGAATTTGTTGTTGTTTCGGACCCCGACTTCTTTCGTATGTGTTCCGCCCCTGCCAGCAATATGAAACTTGGGTTGTGCCCCTCCTGTTTCTAATCGTCCGAATTACTCCGAATTCCAAACGAATGCAAGCAAGCAATCGTGAATCTCCTAATATGTATTTGCCCCAAAATCCCAATCCCCCATACCAGTTCGTTTTTCGCTATTGGACGCTGCCAGTCACCACCGCATCACCGCCGTCCACCCTCCACGACTCCACCGGCCACCCGAAAATCAGGTATTCCCTTCGCCTTCGACTGTTTTTTCTCAGTTTGTGGTCTCTGTTTCTATCTCAGACTCTAAATGTCTGAATCTCTTGACTCTTGAGTGAGTCTTCTCTATTTTCTAATTCTACATTTCTTTTGGAACTTGATTAGTGGAATCAAACAAATCTACTGAATTTGTACCTTCATTTGCTTGTTTTTTGAAATTTGCTTATGTTTATCTAATTTTACACACTGTAAATCTGGGTTTTTAGGCTAATTAATTGATAAGTACTTGCCGGTTTGTGTGTATTTCTTGTTTAGGCCAATAATTATGTTCTTAAATCATGAATAAAGTTTGGAATTTGATTTAAGACACAATTTTAATTTTGTTCTTATGTTGTGATGTTAGGATTGATAATCACAAAATTAGAATAGGAGACAAAAAGGATATTAGCAAATAACAAACTTCATGTTCGGAGACATGACTATGCTTCTGTTTATCTAAATTTTTATATTTATTGCCCTAAATTTGATTTAAGTTAGCGGACTAATTTTGAATGAATTTTTCCTCCATTTTGGTGTTTAATTGCTGAAAAGAATTTGGTTTTTTCCTATAAGAAGGATAATTTTTGGTATTTTTGTGTTTAACTGTTGAAAAAAATAGGTTTGTTTATGTGTAAAACGTTCTAATATTTACTAACTGCATGTGTTTGTCTGGCTATTTTTAGGTAAATGAGTTGCGACAACAAGTGTCAAACATGCAACAAGTCATGGATCAAAGGCAAAGTCAAATGGATTTGCAAATGGAACAAATTTGAAATGACATGAAATTGAAAGTGCAAGGACAATTGGCCATTTATGAGACAACTCGACTCGTCCGGTAATCCACCATGTTGTTCTTAGAATTTGTCATGACATTGTAATGGTATTTTGAGTATTTGAATGTATGAATGTTATGTTATTGACTATTTTAACTTTAATAAATGTAATGGTATTTGAATATATATTATTATAATTATTCTTGTTGTTTTTTTGCATTAGTTTTGAACAGAAAATATGGATATTTTTAAATTATAAATTGAATACAACAATAGATTTTTGACAAAATTGTATTCAATAAAAACTAGCAAAAAATAATTGAAAATTTATAGGAAATAAATATTCTGTAGGAAATAAAATCTAATAATGTATGTAGGTATTCTGTAGGAAAAACAGTCTGTAGGTATTCTGTAGGAAAAGCAGTCTGTAGGTATTTTGTAGGAAAAAACAGTCTGTAGGAAAAGCAGTCTGTAGGTATTCCGTAGGAAAAACAGGTATTCCGTAGGCAAATAATTTGTAGGTACTTTGTAGGGGTTCCGTAGCAAATAAACTCGTAGGTAATTTGTAGGTATTCCGTAGTAAAAATGTTCCGTAGGTATTACGTAGTTAAATTTCTAACAGAATATTATTCCGTAGGAAAACCGTAGGAAAGTCTGTAGGTAAATCGTAGGAAAAAATTACCCACGAGGGTTTTCCCTACAAACCGTTTTTTGTTGGAATTCTGTAGGTAACCCCTTGTTCCTACGGATTTCCTACGAATACTGCCGTAGTTAATTATCAAGTTTTCTAGTACTCTTCAACCAGCTACCCCCTTCAACTCCCTGCTTCATTTTATTCCTTCTCTCTAACCTTTGACATTTATCGTATTAAATTTTCAGGTCTGTATGTATAATCATGGTTTTGGAAACTTGGAGGTGGAGGGAAGAGATTGGTAGATGAAGAATGACACCACCATAACCCTAACTCTGAACATTTCCAATAGTGTCTCATAATGTCTACATCTCTCACCGAAGTTCAGTAGTACTTTGTTAGAAGGGTTTTCATTTCCATTTCCAGGTAACATTTTTGAACTATATACGATTTGATTAAAAATAAATAAATAAAACTGCTTTTTTTGAGCTTCTTATGGATGTGGTGATGCTTGGAATAGTAGGAAACCCCACTCTCCAGCAACAAACCATAAACTGCAATCCAAGAAGTAGAATCAATATCAGTTACTTTTTCTTTTTTCACTCATCTTTGTCCTTTCTATCTAAACTGCCTCTTCAAGTGTGTATATATGTGTGTGTTTTACTTTATGTTTGATAAACCATCCATTTTTTTTGTCTTTGTGTGTGTATGTGTTTAACTCTAACTATATGATTGTTTGCATTTTTTTTTATTTTGGTTCAGTGAAATCTGATGATGGTCTTCAATGCAAAATGACTACACAATGGTATAAACATGAGTGGTAGAAGTTTGGTGATGAGGAATGCTAAGTAGTGTCCTCATGTTTTAAAATCTTATGAATATATTTTTATTATTATATTTTTAGGTAATTTGAATGAAATTTATAAAGGTAATTAGTTGATTCCCATTGATTGATAGGCAAAGGCATATTATTTAATAGAGTCAACCTTGATAGTTGGGAATTTGCAAATGAGGTATTGCTTTGAGGCCAAAATACCTTAATGTTAAAAACCAAATAGATGCAGTGACCAAGAATGGATGTTTATTGTTCAACAAAAAACCATTTACATAAAGTAATGTTCTAGGTAAAGTTTTTGTAAGTGTTTCTATTTTGGTTGTATAGATTGAAATTGATATCATGTAGTAACCTTTTCATTCTTTTATTTTTGATTAATCTCTACAATAAGAAGATTATGTAAAGACAAAATTTGATTTAATTTATGCAGAAAGGAAATTTTGTATGGAGTCTCTTGGAATTTTGAGGTATGTAAAAATGGGGTTTAAGGGTAATGTTTTCTATTCTAGCGGCCCAGTTTGATGATATGTGTGGTTTTATAAAATTTTAGGGTTAAATGCACACAATAAGTTGTAAGCATCATTCATCATTATTGTGTTTTCCCCAAAGTTTTTATGGTCTTTATAATCTTTGAATTTTATAAAAATATTGTTAGTGGTATAATTTGGTGCTTTGGAATATTAAAAATGCAATGATGATAAGTTGAGGAGGTTAGTACATTGTTATTACAAAGAAGAAATGGCAAGTACGTTTAATGTTCAAACAATATCTTCTTTATGCTTTCATGTATTTTGTTTAAACTAGGTAATGTCTCATATTATCTTATTCTTTATGCAACCAAAAAAAAAATAAAAGCTAAAAAAAAAAAAAAAAAGGAAAGGAAAAACTATAAGAAGACCTAACACCAATATGGTTGAACCCATAACCAAAAAATTAAAACCTATTTATGTCGGTTTGATTGTTTTTGTAGGGTACCTACATTAGGAGTGAAATTAGGTTAAAAATCAATGATCATCCACTCTTCAATTTGGTGGGTACCTTAATATGATGTATCCCTTAATATAACTTCGTATGGAGCCTCTAAGTTGAGCATTTTAATGGGATCTTCTTGGGTTGTCATGGAAGCACCATTGAAGTAGCTGGAAGCACTATTATTCTTAAAAAAATTTTTTTGGTGCTCTGATACTTTTTTAAAACTGTAAATTATATTTGGTGGATGAAGCTCTAAATATGATGTATCCCTTGATCATTTCAGTAAGTAACCGACTCTACTAGTATATCCTTGTGTTTCATTTACTTTATTGTGTTATTACTCTATGAAGTGTCTTCAACGACTAGAGGAAATAGGTTGAACGGCTTAAATATCCATTATCACAACGAGAATAGTTGAAAGGAAAAAATGCAAACAAGGTATTGGATGAGCGTCTGATTAGATTAAGCCAAAAAAAAATTTTCTCATCCCTTAAGTTGATCTATCCCAATTAAGTAAAAAAGAAATATCCAAGTATATCTATCTAGGTATATTACTTAATCTATTGAGCTCATTAAGAAACATATGAGTAAATATACAAGCTCAAAATTTTATTTTATGAATTTAACCAAATAATATGTTTTAAACTATAAAAAATAAAAGTATCTTTCTATGAAAAGTTATATATTTTAGTCGTAAAAAGTTTTTTATTTGTAGTATGCTTTTGTATGACTGAAAATATATATGATTTTAGTTTGATTAAGATTTTTATTATTTTAAATACTTTTGGTTTGAGGTTGCATGATCCACTGCAATGGAAATATGGATGACAACATCAAGATCAACATTGGACCTCCTAATAGACATTTTGTAACGTTTAAGTTCAATCATGTACACTAGATGTTCCAATTATGAAAAATGACCCTTAAAATTATTTAAAAACCTGTATTATTTTTGATTAAGTATCATGTTAATATATATATATATATATATATATATATATATATATATATATATATATATATATAGCCGTTTACCCACGCCAAGCGACTGGTGTAAATAATTTTTTCAGAAATTATTTTATATATATATATATATATATATATATATATATATATATATATATATATATATATATATATATAACTCTTCAATCATTTAAAACTTGAACAATCTCAAACATTTGCACCTAGTTAATTTACGCAATTAGAATAATGGTATCAGTTTGGTGGGTACAGGTTCTCAATAATGGAGAAACGCACGTGACTCCTCCATGTCGTGGCCATGCCGAAGAATATCGTCTCCCTTACACGGCCAGTGGAGTGATGTGGTGCTGTCAATGGAGTTCTATTCGGTTGAAAAAGACATCTAGTTGATTTTCTTAGACATCTGATCTGACTATCTCATTTTTTTTCTAACTTATTTATTTATTTATTTATTTAGTTACTGCTATAGTAATTTAACTTGATTTTAATTTCTTTCCTATTACGGTTTTAGTTTTTTGTTTAACGGAGTGTTAATTTTGAAGTATTAGTTTTCTGTATTTTTTTTAAATAAAACAAACACACACATACCGCTTACATATATTTTATAAAATCATTTTGTTTATTTAATAAAAATAAAAAGGAAATGACATAGAAATTAAAATGGTGTGACATGTGGTGATCATTTATTAGCAAAAATTAAGTAGTGGTGTGAAGAATGAGATTATATGCGATGCGGCAAAAACAATAGTGTGGAAAAAATGACTCATGCCCACTAGCCTATCTATTTTTATAATACTTTTATTACCATATTAAATATATTATTAATTTATTATTGTTAATTAAAATAAGAAAAAATCTTAATAGACCAACCAAAATTTTGTAAACTATAATAAATGCATTTGTATTATACTAGCCTTGAAGAATAATATTTATATATTTGATTACATAGCTTCATAACCTTATCTAAACATGGAGTTACCAATGATAAATATAAAATTACTTTAAATGTTCATCAAATCAGGTTATAAACTAATACAAAAACATGATAAATCTGCTTCTAGAATATATAGTAGTGCCCATATTTTATAATTATGTGTAAGGCTAAATGGCATGATGACACCAATGGTGCCAAATAGGTGATGTCATTAGTGGTTAACCAAAGATGCATATGTGTTATGTCATTGGAATTTTGTTCCAATGGTATCTCATTTATTAATCACCTCATATTAATAATACAAATCTTCATTTAAACAATATAACTATAGCTTGATAAGTCCGATCAACATCCAGCCATATCATATTTTACTATCTTGGTCTGAATCAATTGAAGTCTGTCATAATGTCATAATTAAGTCACTTCAACCGGTTTAGACATATTGTTTGGAAAATTTGAAAGTGTCATCCAATGTTTTATGAATAAAAAATATCCACACTTGAAAACGATGTGAATATCATGAACAAATGTCATGATCAAACGCATGTAAACAAACAAACATAACTGAAAATCATCTAATCATAACAACATTAATAACTTTGATGTAACCTTTAAAGTTTAAAGACATGCAAAATGCTAGTTTTGACTAGTGATCAAGCAATTTGTGTTAAAACTTTGTATTATTTCATAACAAATATGAAAATATTTACGGGTGAAAACTACAACAATGAAAGCTTCACTTTGTAGGCGCTTATATATAACATTCATTCTCGATTGTTTCTTACTTTGTAATTTTTATAGTTTTATTTTGGGTAAGTGACACAAAAAATACTTTTTTTATACAGAAATTCGATTTTGATACCGTGTTATTTTTTGTGTCAATTTTGACACTGTGTTTTCCAATATGTTACAATTCTGACCACTTGACCGGTTAACCAGGTTACATGCTGATGTGACATGATGACGTGTCAGTTTTGATGACGTGTCATACTAACATGATATGCTGATGTGTCAAAATTGATTTTTTTTTCCACAAAAAACACTAAGTTTTTACTTTTTTTCGATTTTGACACTATGTTTAATTTTTTATTTCAATTTTGACACTATGTTTTTTTTGTTCCAATCGAACATCATTTATCAAATTTTATTCAATTTTATCTATTTTCCATTTAAAACCGTATAAATATATTTTTTTATTACATTTTAAACCGTATAATCATATTCTTTTCGTTTAAAACACATTTTTAATTAAAAACAAAATGTTTTTTTTATTTTTTTTTATTTTTTTTTTACATTCAAAGTATTAGTTATATCATGAGAATCAAACTAAACATAAGCTTCTAATAAGATGTAAAAATTTGATGGGTTGCAAACTTGATATCTGAGTTTTGATCGACTACACGCCTCCAAACCTTCAAACACATTTTAAAGTTGCATATTTAGTATAAAATACAATTTATATATATATATATATATATATATATATATATATATATATATATATATATATATATATATATATATATATATATATGGTTTGAGTATAAATAAAATGTATTTATACAAAACTATGGTTTTTAAATGAAAAAAAAAACATTTTTATACGGTTTAAATGTATTAAAAAATATTTATACGGTTTCAAAAAGAAAATTGTCAACATTGAACAAAATTGGAAAAAATGATGTTCGATTTGGAACAAAAAAACATAGTGTTAAAGTTGAAAGAAAAAATTAAACTTAGTGTCAAAATCGAAAAAAAATGAAAACTTAGTGTTTTTTGTGAGGAAAAAATTCAATTTTGATACATCATCATATAATGTCATCATGTCATGTCATCAAAACTGACACGTCATCATGTAACCTGGTTAACCGGTCAAGTGGTTAGATTTGTAACGAATTGGAAAACATAATGTCAAAATTGACACAAAAAATAACACGGTGTCAAAATCAAATTTCTGTGTAAAAATAATGTTTTTTGTACTATTTACCCGTTTTATTTTTATTTGTATGCAACTCTATAAAGGCATGAATAGTTTTCTAAGATTTGTAAGCTATACAAAAAATTAGATGCAGTCATCACGCCTGTAGCATTGTATACAACTTGAACCTCAAACGTGGATATAATCCGATTTTAGGTCTCGTCAATATTTTTATTGAATTAAGTATGATTGGAGTTAGAAAAAGAATTGAAGTTTTTTTTCATTCCATTTGAACGAAAAAGGCTATTTGTTAGAGAGTTTTTTTTTTCATTATTTAAATCCACCATGGAATGGAATGTAAAATTGTAATATAATATATTTTTATTTATGCAAATTTTCATCACATAGTTAAACTAGAACTTTTTTTTTTTTTTTTTTTTTAAATAACAACCAAATATATATTTGTTATAATCCTATTTGCTTTGGGTTTTAATGAGTTTTTATTATGCTTAATGTTTTACATTTTATAAATTGTAGTTGGTTAATTGTAATTAAAATAAAGTACAAATTAGATTTGAAGTCATATATTATAGTTAAACTCCAACATAGATTCTAGAAGATTCATTCCATTCTTACAAATTATAATGGTATTATAGCTTTTCCCATTATCTTGCTAACTTAATTACCATGTCAATTCCAATCCATGCAATCAAACAGATTGTTACAGTTTGACTTTTTGACCATCTTTAATCTTTTCAAGTTTTTTACCTTCATTTCGATAATCTTATTATCAATGATTTGACCTTTGGTATATGTTTTAAGCCAAAAGTGATACACAAAAATAAATTGACAAATAAAAGAGAACCTGATCACTAGAAACAATTTGAATAGATCCAACATTGACTGAAAAATATTTTCCTTCTTATGACACTCTCTGCTTCACATGCTCCTGTTAGATTGGTTTCATGTAATCATTGTAACATGAATCAAAATTCTATAATCATATTATTAGACTCATGGCAACGTAACAGTATCTCAATAATCAATTTTTGTTTTAGCAACTTCTTACATGTGTCTTCAAATATAATTACCTTGACACTAAATAATCAGAAAATCAAATATCTTATTTACCTCTGGAATCGGATGCTGAAATGACTGACTCGACAACTAGTACCATAGATTGCACAAAATCATCCCGCCAATCCCATTTGTTGTAAAATTTTGGACACTTGGGTGACTGTCTACCTATCATGTTAGACATAACAAAACCATATGTAACATTCCAAAAATATAGATAAAAAATTTTGTTTTAATTAAATTATTGTATAAAACCATCAGTATAAAAAAACATTTATAATAATATCCCAAGTCAAAACCAAAGCATCAATAATCAAAACATAATATCATAAAACCATCAGAGTGTAATCCCAAAGATCTCGTGTGCGGAAAACATGGTGTGATGTGTTGCAATCAAGCCAACTCCTTTCCTTTGAAAACGAAGTACCTGAAACCAAAACTGAAAACCGTAAGCACGAAACTTAGTGAGTTCCCCCATCATACCACACATACAATAACACATACCGCCAGGCATACCAGGGTGCCTGACCTACCCCATGCCAGGGATACCAGGGTGCCCGACCTACCCCGCTGAGCATATCGGGGTGCTCAACCTACCCCTGTCAGACATACCGGGGTGTCCGACCTACCCTTCGGTCCTAACAACTGTACTTGGGGACTATTCCCCTCTTACTACTACTATCGCATAAAACATATCAAACTAGCACACATAAACATCTCAAGTAGCAGTACACCTAGATAAATATCACAAAGACAATCATCTAACATACAACACCTACTGGTGGGCCGACATTGTGGCCTTAGACCCACCGTTACTGGAAGGTAACTCACCTTGCACTACTGAACCCTTGTTGATATCGCTCTGGCTGCTATGCGACAATTCCTAAACCGCTGCTCCTTCGGCTCCCGAGCAATCAATACCAAAACATCACTTAGTCCAATACAATAAATCTTCATACGGTGAAATGACCATTCTACCCCTCCTAACCCAACTTGATATATATCCAAGGTCCACTACCATGATTCACAAGGCCTAATATTATGTAAGCTTCTCAAGCCCACTAGTGGCCCACTAATGGCCCAATTTACTATATTGGACCCAATCCCTTTATTGGGCCTTAACTTAAACCCATAACATATTTTTGGCCAACACCAACTGACTCCTGCTGACCCACTATGTCCTAGAGGCCCAAAGTCCAAAACACAGCCCAAGTTGAGGCCCAAAAATGCAAAGCCCAAACTGGTAGAGTATGTGGGGCGTACTCCTATGTACGCCAGGCGTAGTGGCTGATGGCTTGTACGACGTGCGTACCTCCTTGTACGCCCATCGTACAGCCCTGTTAAGCCACTTTTCCATCACGTTCTTAATACACCACTTCAGAGGCTACAAACTCATATCCAGGTCCTTTTCCATGTCTTAATCCATAAAGTTGCTAACTTGGTGGCTTACAACCCACCAAATTAGCCCAAACTCAAAAGGTGACAACAAACTTCCATAACAAGGGCTAAATCTCATGCATGAACTCATTAGGCCCATCAAGATTAAGAATTTACTGTTTATGGGACACTTTTAGCTC